AGATCATTTATAAGTAACAGGGGGCCGAGTATGTAGCCTTTAGGAACACCACACGTGACTGGAAGAGGGAGGGAGGTGCCCATGTTAACAGACGATCACCAATATGGAGTTTTTGCAAAATAGCTCCAGTTAAGTATCCTTGTTTCATGCCGATTTGGATGTCATTGCAAACTTTTAAGAGGGCTGTCAAAGTTGAGTGATTTGGACAAAAGCCTGAGGGGTCAGATAGTTTGATAATTTAGAGTTGAGCCGGACACCTGGATGTTCGGGTCCGGCGGAACTTTGAAAAAAAAAGTTCGGGCTCAAACTTGACCCCTAACCCTATTGAAGTCAATGGGGACCCGAGCTTTTGGGCACAAAAATGGCTCTAAAAATCTCAGGGAAAGGGCTAGAGGGCTGCAAAAGGAAGTAAAATAGGGGTAAGAGTAGGACAAGTGCCCTGCAAACAAATGTGGATAGGGAAATCACTTAAAAGGACAAAATAAGCAGCCGTTAGTAGATAACTCCCTAATTCCCACGGTATTGGGGAGCTGTCTACCAAAAGGCTGAAAGACCTAAATTGGTCTTTCAGCCACATTTACTAATACTAAGTAAAGATTACTTAGTATTAGTAAATTCAGCCCCTACTAGCTATACTGTGAGTAGGGGCATGTCTAGTAAACAGTGAGCAGCCAGTGGCTGCTCACTGTAAAAAAAAAAAACACTATTACCCCTGTTCAATGGATGTGGGCCCTTAATAAGAATGTGGAGGGGGGGGGCTGGACCTACTGTCCTCGCCCCCACCCCTGAGTGGCGGGTGGGGGCCCTAAATAACAATAAGGGGGGGACCTTTTGTCCTCCACCCGCCCCCTGTGCGGCGGGTGGGGGCCCTAAATAAAAATGTACCCCCCCCCCAACAGGTGACTAGGGGTCCTCAAATCCCTAGTCACCTCCCTCCCCCCAACAAAAATTACCCCTACCTACCCCCCTCATCCTAAAATAATGAGGGGGGACCCTTATCTAAATACCTGTTTAAAAAAAAATAGACTTTCCATTTGATGTCTTCTTTCTTCTAAAATCTTTTTTCAGCCCTAAAAAAGCCAAATAAAAATCCAGAATAACCAACGAATGTTAAAAAAAAAAAAGCGCAAAAAAAATTCCCTTTTCACCCATGGAGGGCTCCGCACAGATTAGGCTCAGAGCACTCTGATTGGTGGGTTTAAGCCATCCAATCAGAGTGCTCTGACTGGTAAATGGAGAGACTGACCGGTAAGTCTCTACTTTTACCTGTCACACCACTCTGATTGGTTGGCTTGAAATCCACCAATCAAGAGTGCTCTGTGTCACTTTACACAGCGTGGGAAAGTTCTTTGGAATTTTCCCAGGCTGTGTAATTTGACTCATAACACTCTGAGTGGTTACTTAATCCACCAGAGTGCTCTGTGTCATTTTACACAGCGTGGGAAAGTTCTTTGAAATTTGATCTGGTCCACACTTTTTAAAAAAAAAATTATGTAGATGTTTGTTAATGACACTAACTGGGACATGTCTGTGAAGAAATGACTCCGTTAATCAGGATTTCTACCTTTTTTGTACAGTTAATTCACCAAATTCAGCTGGAATTCGGCATATAGCTTTCATTTCTACCCTTCGGATGGATTCAGGCGAATTCCCTGTGTAAAATATAGGTGGCCGCCATTTCGGCACTTTACACGTGGCCGCGGCCATTTTACGTGCGAACAGCGGTGTTTGCCCGTCAACGCGTGGAACTAAAATCGGATACGCAAACAGGCGAACACCGCTGAGACCTCCATACCTCCAGAACTTCGCACGGGAACGACCGAATCACCGGCCGTTCGGTAGTTACATGTAACTTAGTATGGGGATTTCAACGATCACAAAGATGCGAATGGATGGCAGGGCTTTCGTCTCTTTTATTCGCCTAAACGGAGACCGACCGCAGGGCCAAAACTTATGGAACTATTTTCGGCTAGATGGTCCGTGCGGTCGGTCAAAACTTTAGTGTTCCATAACTCCCGAACCATTCATCCGAATGGACTGATTTTTTGATATGTTGTCCCCACAAATGAGAACTATCCAGCGGTACCAAATTTAAAGGTGTACCCCCTGTTTTTGGGGTACATCCAGAACTGGGGTAAAATAGTGCACGTTTTAATTAAGTTAACTGTTTATCAGAGGGGAGGGAGGTGTGGGCTGTAACCTATACCTGATTGGTGATTTAATGCCTCCCCCTGGGTGTGTACTTCTTGTCTGTAACCTCAATAAAAAGCAGGCTGGAGATTCCAGACCTCAGATCTACTTGTATCCTGATTCTGGACTCTGACTGTTATTTGGGAATTCGTATGCTTTACCAAGGGGATTATCTTGGGAAGCTGTTATATTTCTTATGGACTTCATTGTTTAGAACTACCTTAGACGCTGGCATTGCAGGAGGAATTATCAAAGCGGTTCAGCTATACTTGATTTCCTTACAATGTCTAAAATTGAATTTTTTTTATGAGGATTTAGCAGGGCTTGATCTGCATTTGTGGTCTGAAAACAAGTGTCATATGTTATCTTGGCAATACGGGTGGTAGCACATCCAACAAAATAATTATTAAAGGCATTTGCTACATCTAGGGGGTGTTGCAGTGTTTGGTTGTCCATTTTGACAGTGGAGGGTTGGGAGAGGATTGTGGGGATTTGTATGCTACTTATGATTTTCCAAGTTTCTTGGGTTTGATAGGTTATTGTTCAAATATTCACTGAAATATTGGGCCATTTTTGTTTTGTGCATGCATTTTGCCATTGTCTAGGCACAGTGATTATTCATGGAGCCAGTACGCTTGAACTTTGACCACCGTGAATCTCAACTGATACATTTGAATGAGGTCAGCTGTAACCCAGGGCAGGTGTGTCCCTTTTATTCGCACTCTATGCAGAGGGGCATGCAAATTCCAAACACGCAAGAATTCAGACTGAAAACATTATGCAGAGCCTAAATCTGGGTTTAGACTTAATGTGTCCCATGGTATGTTCTTGAGATCGTTTAAAAAGGATTCAAGATTACATTTCTTGAATGACCTGGTGATTCAAATCTTGGGAGGGGATTTAGTGGCCTTTATTTTGCGTATACAGTACACTAGATAGACAGTGGTCACTGAAACTGTGGGAAAACACCTGCCTCCTGAATAACGATGCGATGACTGAGTCTGGTATTTTAGTTGTTAACCATGATTCTGAGAGCACAATAATTTTTGGTTTGTAATGGGAACACCAGGCTTGCAGTGCATCCCGTTTAGGGAGTAAACTACGGATGTTGCAGTGCACAAAAGAGAGGCCATTCCTAATGGGGAAATTAGGACTAGAATTGGCTGGGGGACCAGGGCTAGACTCCACATCATTTGCAAGAGCAAGTATCATAATAGGAATTTGGTCATCATTCTTGTTTGGCAGTATAGTAAATGGGAGACTTTTTGAAATTTTGCGAATTTTTTTTCATTATCACCCTCCACCAGCACTCAGCGATAAGTTACAGGAACAGAGCAGACCATGGTGTATGATAATTTGTGTTCCAGTTTGAGGTGTGTGCTTATGGTCATGATGTGTGTCCGAAAAGAGTTATGATGAATAACAGTGTGGTCATATTTGGATTCATGTTAGTGGTATGAAGCGTGTAGATTAAAACAAAACACAAATATAAAAAATTTAAAATGAATAGAGAAATTAAAGTATATGGCAGCAGTTTCCAGAGTGCCGCGACATGCACACAGGGGTGCCGCGGAATGTATCCCTGGTGCTAGGATTATAGCACTGGGGAAACATTACTGCTCAATAGGGACCCGGTTGAGTGCTGCGGTCCTTTAAGATCGCGGCCAGGCCCCTGAAATGTCGGCCGGCTGGGAGGAAGTGACAGCCTGTCACTTCCTCCCAGTGTCATGCAGAGAGACTGCGAGGGAGAGGAGCATGAAGCTCTCAAGGCCAGGATTCCAAGCCACCCTCCTGGCCACACAAGGTAAGCCAAAAGGAGGGTGGAGGGAGATATTAAAAAAAAAAAAAAAAAAAATCACTTGTGTGTGTTTGTATGTTTTGAGTGTGTGTGTGTCATGGTGTGGGCATGTATCAAAGTATGTGTATATCTATATGTGTCGGTTTATTTATATACATCTGTGTGTTAATGTGCATGAATATCTGTGTAGGTAGGTATGTATGTGGTAGTGTATGTGCATACATCCAATCAGTCAAACACCAGCATAAAATACAAGCACACTCCTGCAATCTAACAATACTGTATTACATACAAACACACGCTTGCATTCAAACTCAAAAAAGTATACAAACACACCACCTTCACTCAAACACATACTTTACAAAAATGTACATCCACATTTAAAAGTGAACATTACATTCAGACACACCCCTGCAATCACAATAAATGTATACAAGCACCTGTTAAAACACCAACATTGCACATTACACTATAGCGCCAGTACATGCCGGAGCGCTGTACAGATATGCATCCTAGACATTTTGACTTGGGATGCCTTGGAAAAATACTGAAATATCAAGGGCGCCTTTAACCTAAAAAGTTTGGGAACTGGTATATAGTATTGATGTGGAATATATAGCTTTTTGTAGGAAGAGTGGGGATGTATTCTAAGGGATTAAGACATTGAAAGGATGTGCTGATTAGTGGTTGCACCTGTCATTACAGGATAATTTAACCCCTTAAGGATACATGATGTGTGACATGTCATTATTCCATTTTATTCCAGAAGTTTGGTCCTTAAGGGGTTAAAGTTGCATGGGAAACTATTTATAAATGAGGGGGGGTGGGGGCATTGACACTGACTGGGTAGTCCAGTCACATGGTGCAGTGTGGGGGGGATCCAGTCACATGGTGTGGTGGGTGG